AGATCTTCCTCTATTTATAGAGAGAGCTAGGCTATGTCAGCACAGCAGCCAATCAGAAGGCAGGTCACCAACTGCCAGTCCCCAGCTCCAGCAATGTCTTAAAGGGACCTCAACTTAACAGCGACACAGTCCACAGCTGTAAGTCCTCAACTTACAGCTACACAGGTAGTGTAGCCTTTAAATTGAGGCACAGGACGAGCAAGGCAGCCGCACACTGGTCCAATGATCAAAGAGCAAGAGACAAGAAAGGCGAGACTCACCAAGGCATTTATCTCTCTGCCCTTCAGTTAATCCCACTTGTGTTTATTGGCCAGGCTGGCACAAGAAACTATCTCAAGGATTTTTTTAATGTGATAAATAATTGTGGGAAGCCTTGGTGTCAGAAGCCAGAAATTCTATAATACTTGTGTATTTGTGCCTATATTGGTAAAAGCTGTAAATTAGAACAATTTGAAGTTTAAAAAATAAGAACAAGAATTAACTGTGTTAGAGCTGCAGACAGTCATGGCCTTTTTTGGTGGGGGGTGGGGGGCTGTGGAATACCTTATCTGTATGATAAAGACATAAAGGCTTCATTGGCAAACAGGAATGATAGAACTTGGACAAGACAAGTGCGAGAAAGAATTAAACAGTTCTGGTGAAGAATAACAGTTTGATCTTCACTAACTGATGTTTCCTGTTCATCTGAAATACATTAGTTTTGTTCCTTTGTACCTTTTCTGGGATAAGAAGCTTTAAGGTGCCAGCAGTTGGGAAGCTAGGTCAAGGAAAAGGACAAAAGCATAAATAAATGGATGCTGTATTACCAGTACTTGAAAACATTGCTAATGGTGATTTTGTTCTGACGATTTTTACATCCGCAGATCGCATGCTGCCCCAGTTTGTGAGAGATAGATGGGTAAGGTGTGAAATTGATAGTATGGAGGGCAATTTGATTATTGGTACTGGCAAGTTGTGAGGGCATTTGCCAGGGGAATGAGTGGAGAAGTAGGAGGAAGTGTAAGGTGTTTGGAAAAGAGGAAATTAAGGAATTGATGATCAAGGTGTGGATTTTTTAAATCACCAAAAGCTCTTTGAAAGTATTAGAGGGATACCACTGGGAAATGAGACTGTTTGTCCTGAGGATCGGTGACTGAAATAAGGAGGGACGATGAGTTGATAGACCATGTGGTAGTCAGATAAATTTACATCAACTTGAAGATGTATGGAAGTTTAGGGGTAGAGTCAAACCTGTCAGTCAAATTGCAACCTGATGAATCCTGGATGGTGTAAGAGTGTAAGACACTGGGAACCTCCCTCTCTCTCCCATCTCACCTCCCTGCTTGCTGGCCGTCCTGATAGCTGCTGGAGCCGTGCCATACTTCCACTGACCTTGGATTCACATGACTCTACACCCACCAGCCTGTAATCTCCCTGCGTTTGGCATCATTGTGTGTGGCTGCCTGAGTCTTAAGAGGGACTTAGGATAAGGTGACCAGACGTCCCGCTTTTGGCGGGACAGTCCCGATTTTTAACAATTTTTCCCACGTCCTGCGGCGTTTTTAAAAAGTCCCGATTTTTGGAAAGAATGCATGACACGCTAGGGTATACGGTTTTCAGCTGCCGTGTGGCTATTTTGCCAGGATATGAGTTTTATCAATGGTGTCCCGCTTTACCAATGTTAAAATCTGGTCACCTTAACTTAGGAACTAGTGTCAGACGTAAGGATTTGTTAGACTGGGCTGGGATGTATTCTTGTTATATAATTACTTCTTGTTACAAAGCTTTCTTACACATATATGAGATTTGTTTCTGTAATTAACTCAGCCTAACACAGAGCATGAGATTCAAAGCAGGAGACTTTAGGGAGAGAAGGGAAAATACTTTAAAAATGACACTGAGGACCATGGAAGACATTTACCCCACGTCCAAGACTCAGTGATGTGAGACTTATTTGAGAGAAGACACACTCATGTGAAAGAGCAGGAGCATGAACAAAGCTGCTAGGAGGAGGGAGGTTTCAGGTGGCCCAGAAAAGTGTTTAGAGAGAATATTGAGGATGTAGCACATTTCTCTGGTGGCACACCTTGAGTGAATGAAAATGAAGGACTGGAGCAAGGGGTCCATTAAAGGTCTAGGGATGAAATTTCAGGTGATGGGAAATAACCTGTCAGAACTCTTGAGATTTTCTCATGGTAGCTAATATAAAAAGGGATGATGGACATAGGGATCAATCTTGATGGTCTCCTAGGCAGATAGTTGTAAAAACTGAGGGGAAAGGGGTTGGTGAGACTGATTCATCAGAGAAATCAGAGCTTCAGAGCCTGTTTTAATTTTCTGTTGCTACTATAACGAATTACCACAAATTCAATGGCTTAAAACAACACAAACATATTATCTTACATGTCTGTCACTCTCCTGTTGAATAATCTCCCTGGGTTAAAATAAAGGTGTTTCAGGCTTGTGTTTGATTTTGGAAGCTCTGGGAGAGAATGCATTTCCTTGGCTCACTGGCACTTTTCCTCTGTTTTCAAAACCATCTGCCAAACATACTCGTGCTTAAGCTGAGTTTTTCAGCACATTTTTAATGCTGTTTTTGTGGTAAAATTAGGTGCCTTGGCTGATATTCGGGTTGGCTTATACTCGAGTATATACGGTATGTTGCATCTCCCTGACTCTTGTATTTCATGTGTCTGACCACAGGTCCAGAAGATCCGCTGCTTTTAAAGTTTCATGTGATTACCGTTTGGCCCACCCAGGTAATGTAGCATAATGTTCCATCTCAAGACCCTTCACCTCAGTCACATATGCAGAGTTCCATTTTGCCATTTAAGATAACATATACAGATTCCAGGGATTTGGCCATGGACACTTTTTTTTGAGAGGGTGTGTGTGCTATATTATTTGGCCTAACACAGGCCCTCCCCCTTCCTTTCTACTAGTGTGTGGAAGGCTAGGTACAGGCAGGGTTGTCTGAGTTCAGGGTTATGGTACCTGGCTCACTGTGGATTTCACTCCTAGGCTCAGATATACCTTGAGCTTTCATATACCTTTAGGTCTTGTTTATATGGGGCTCATTGGAACTAGGGTAAGACTTAGTACTCAGTCTGTCATACCTGAACAGATGATACAGTGCTGTGGCAGTCTGTGGACACCAGTCATGAATAGGGAGCTCAGAGATGAAACATTATTTGAAAACATGCTACTTGATTAATTGGAGATAGTTTCATGTCCCACTCAGAGAACTATAATGATTTTTTTTAGTCTTTTGTTTATTTAAAGAGGTTTCAAAAATATCTTATATCTTGACATTTGACAAGCATCAATTATAGTAATTAATATTGCCATATTCTCATGGCATTGGCTAAATTAAGAACTATTGTTTAATTTCATTTTTCAAAGTATCTGGGTCTTTTTTTTTTTTTT